TTGTTTCCTTTCATAATTTTCTTCTAGTTATGGCCTTTTCTTTCCATTTAAAGAGTTCCCTTTAACATTTCTCATAAGGCCAGTTTAGTGGTGATGAACTCCTTTAACTTTTATCTGTGAAACTTTAGGCTCTCCTTCAATTCTGAATGGTAACGTACTTGGGTAGGGTACTGTTGCCTTTAAGTTTTTTCCTTTCATACTCTGAACATATGCCACTCCCTTGTGGCCTACAAACTTTCTGCTGAGAAATCAGCTGATAGTCTTATGGGTATTCCCTAGTATATAACTAGTTGCTTTTCTCTTGCTGGTTTGAAGATCTTCCCTTTAACTTAAACATTTCCATTTTAATTACTATGTGTTTTGGTATGAACCTCTTCGGGTTCACATCTTGTTTGGGGCCCTCTGTGCTCCACTGACCTGGATGTCTGTCTGCTTCCCAGATTTGGTTAAGTTTTCAGTTATTATTTCTTCAAATAAGTTTTCTGCCTTTTCTCTTCTACTTTGATTTTAGTATGCTTCATACTGTCCCAGAGGTCCCTTCACCCATTTTCATGTTTTTATTTTTTTTTTCTTCTTGCCATTCAGCTTGATTTCCACTACCCTGTCCCTGCAGCTCACTGCTCTGTTCTTCTGCCTCCTCTAGTCTGCTATTGATTCCTGAGTACATTTTTCATTTCAATTAAAGTATTCTTCAGCTGATTCTTTTTTTTTTTAAGATTTATTTATTTATTTATTTGACAGAGAGAGAGAGCACACAAGCAGGGGGAGAGGGAGAGCAGGCTCCCCACGGAGCAGGGAGCCTGATGCAGGGCTTAATCCCAGGACCCTGGGATCATGACCTGAGCTAAAGGCAGACGCCTAACTGACTGAGCCATCTAGGTGACCCTACTCTGATTCTTTTTTATATTTCTATCTTTTTAATGAAATGTCTCAGTGAGTTCATCCATTTTTCTCTCCAGTTTAGTGATTGACTATGAACTCTTTATCAGGTAGATTAATTCCTTTTTGTTTAGTTCTTTTTCTGAAATTTTGTCTTATTCTTTCGCTCAAAACATATTCCTCTGTCTCCTCGGTCTGTCTAATTGTCTGCCTGTTTTTCTACATTGGGTAGATCAGCTACATCTCCCTGTCTTGAAGGTAGTGGCCTTATGAAGAAAGTATCTTGTGGGGCCCAGAAACACAAGCTCCCCAGTCACTAGAAACAGGTAGTTCAGGGGTGTCCTCTGTGTTGGCTGCATGCGCCCTCCTGCTGTGACTGGGCCATGAGTGCTGGGGGCATGCTGGTGGGTGGGGCTGGCTCCAACGCCTGGCTGTTATAACTGTGGGCACACTGCAGGGATGGAGCTGGCCTCAGCCCAGCTGGTGAAGAGGCCTGCCTGTGGCTGCTGCAGACATGCTGGTGGGAGCAGTTAGCCTCCAGGGTGGCTGGCTGCAAGGCCTAGCCACAACTGTTGCAGGCATGATGGTAGGCAGGGCTGGCCCCCATTTCATGGGGCACGAGTCACTTTGGAGTAGTGCCTGTCCCAGCCAAGTCCTCCCACTGGGTGGGGGAGGTGGGTAGAAGCTGCTTTGGGAGGGGAACTGGTCCAGACAAAGGCCGTCTGCCAGGTTGTGGTGGGGTAGGAGCCATTTGGAAGGGTGCCTATAGGGGTAGGCCAGTCTGCAGAGGAACATGAAATGGGGTGAATGGTTGCTACTGAGGTTGATGGGAGAATGTCGGAACAAGCGTCTGCCAGTATCGGGTCAGCTAAAGGAGGGCCAAAAAATGGTGCCCTCCAGTACTCTGTTCCTGGAGAAACTTCCTACAGATCCCTGCCCCTCTGGCACATGCCCTAATATTAGCCAATCTCCTTCATTCATGTTCCAGGCACTTTTCAAACTGCTACCTCTGTTCTGGGTCTCCAAGCGAGTGAAACTGTTCAGAGGCCCTTTAAAAGCAGGGTCTCCATTCCCTCTAGTCCTCTAGCCCTCACGGAGTTAAGCTTCTCAGTGAGGGCCTACCTTGATATCCCTCCCACTTGTGCATTACTTTGCTGGGGGTTCATTTCCCAATGTGACCATGTCTCTGCCCCTATTCTTCTTGACATCACTTTTTAAAATATCTTTAGTTGTATAAGAGCTGTTCTGCTAGTCTTCAAGTCTTTCTCAGAGAGTTGCTTTATATGTATTTCCAGCCTTGGAATACACCTGGGAGGTGAGCTCAGGATCTTCCTACTCCACCATCTTCCCATGAGTCTATCTTTAGCTTTAACATTTTAATTATAATGTGTGTTGGCATGGATCTCTTTGGGTTCACCTTTTATTTGGAACTCCCTGGGCTTCCTGGATCTGTATGGCTGTTTCCATCCCCAGGTTAGGAAACTTTTCAGCCATTATTTCTTCAAATAAGTTCTTGTCCCTTCTGCTCTCCCCTTTCTGCAGCTCCTATAATGTGACTGTCATTCAGCTGTGAATGTTACTGATGTTGTCACATAGGTCCCTTAAGTTATCTTTGTTTAAAAAACCTTTTTTTTTTCCCTTTTTGCTGCTGTTTGGGTTAGTTCTACGGCCCTGTCTGCCAGGGCACTGATCTGTTTTTCTGCTTCATCTTGTCTGTTGTTGATTCTCTCTAGCATATTTTTCTAGTTCGGTTATTGTATTCTTCAGCTCTGTGACTTCCAAAAAGGAAAGTAGAGTCTTACTCTCCTACAGCTTTTTGGGTATCCTTGACATGAAACCCACTGATTTCCAAAGCCAGATGTTTTGGGGGCTCATCTCTCCAGTGCAGGTCCCAAGGGTTGGGGTGCCTGATGTGGCTCGCTCCTCAGAGATATGCTCCATATTTGTGAGATCACTCCCACTGGTGGATTACAGCACCAGGGATGGGTTTTTGGTGAGTCCATGTCTCTGCTCACCTACCTATCTCAATGTGGCCTTTTTGTCCTTTGTTGTGAAGGAGCTGTTCAGCTAGTTTTCACATCTTTTGTAGAGAGAACTGTTCTATGTGTAGCTGTAAATTTGGTTTGTCCATGGGAGAAGGGGAGCTCTGGGTCTTCCTATGCCACCATCTTGAATCACCAATGTCCACTTCTAAAACTTGCAGGCAGGAAGTGGGTTAAGGTACAAAAGTGTGTGAAGGGTTTCCATCCTTTTTCTCACATGAAAGCAATTTTGAAAAGGAAAATTTTGCCTTTGACATTCTTCCACTTTCTCATGGTAACAGCCACACTCCTAGAGTGCTTCTTTCCTGGGCCTGTGTGTTGACCTAAGATACCTACAACATTCCAACCATGTACTTCATGCTCCAAAACTGTCTCCTATAGACTCCTCATGAACACCCTTTGCTCTGCCAACTCTTAAGTTCATTGTACCCAGCTTTCCATTCTCATTACTTTCCTCTTATCACTCAACACACTTTCCCTGGGCTGCCTTGTAATCTCAATCCTTCTCACAATCCCTCTCTCTCTAACTCCACCCCCACTGCCCCTAGACTGGATCTGTCCTCTGGGCTATACACTTGTATATCCAACCACCTACTAGATACCTGGATGTCCCACAGTCATATCCAACTTTTAATTCATCACCCCCCACCTTCCTTTGTTCTCCTCAAACCTGTTCCTCACCATGATCTTGTATCCTTTTCTCCCTGGATAGCACCATCATGTACTGAGATGCTCAAGCCAGAAACTGGAAGTCATCAAGGCTTCCCAAACCACTGTCACAATCCATTGATTACTAAATCCCACAGATTCAGTCTTCTCAAAATCTCTTAAAACTGCACTCTCCTTTTTATTCTCTCTGCCTCCATTTTAGCAACTGCTCCCATCATGTTATTCATAGATTAAAGCAACAGGTTCTCAAGCTTTTTCCACACCCATCAGCAAACAATTTATTCTCCAGAGATAGGAAGCCATGTGATGACAAGAAAATCAGATCCTGTCACCCTTCCTACCCTTAAAAACTCATCATTAAAGTACCAGGGCCTTCAGAGTAAAGACCAAAATCCTTCAGAAGGCTCAGAAGTAGGCTGTTCTCTCACTTCTCTCCCTATCCTATGCATGTTCTAGTCATGCCATCTACTTGCAAATACCCAAACAATCCACTTTGCTCACAGGTTTGTTTGTTTTCACAAGATTCTTTCTCTACTTAATCCTCTACCTAATCCTTATAGCTAATATTTAAGAATTTAAGATATAGTGGGGCATCTGGGTGGCTCAGTCGGTTAAGTATCTGACTCTTGATTTCTGCTCAGGTCATGATCTCAGTCAGGGACACGAGATCGAGCGCCGTATTGGGTTCTGCTTGGGATTCTCTCTCTCTCCTTCTGCCCCTCTCCCACCCTCCACTCATGAGTATGCTCTCAAAAAAAAAAATTAAGATGTATCAAAAGCATGCCTTCTATGTTAAATAGCAGCACAATGAGTGAATGTCAATCATAGCACACACTGTATTGCATTAGAAACCTCTGTAAAGTTATCTGTTTTCCTCCATTAGGAATCACTGTCATTCACTCTAACCACCCCTACACAAACTCACATTCTAATGACTATCACTGATGATTCTGTATTCATAAATCTTTATTATACACATTACTATATCTGTATGATTACTATCATTGCTTGACATTAATTTTCTTCAAATGCTTATAACAATAGAATCTTCTAAAGAAAACATTTTCAAAGACTTTTCTAAGAGATCAAAGAATTCAATAGCAACTATAAAACAATTCCTGTAAGTATAAAGTAGTAAGGGAAACAACAACAGAAAATTGCTTCTTAAATGTTGAGATATATCTATACTACCAATAAATCCATTTTCTGAAACTAAACAGATCAAAGCCCTTTAATCCTACTTGCAACATAGGAAAATATTTTTTAAATTGCTGTATTTAATATATTTAATACTGGAGACCATTCAAATATAAACAACAATTACACCACTCTCAAATTATGGCACATTGTAAGAGAAGTTCATTTATCATTGAACACCACATTATGTTGCTGGCTAGAACACTACCATACCTCCAATTTGTTTTTCTCAACAGTAGCTTGTAGAGAAGGCGAGGATACCAAAGGCTGAAGAGGAGCATCAGAAGAAGAAATCTGTGGAATGCAGATGAAAAGTCGGAAGAACAAAGAGAAAAGAAGGTAATCAGAATTGACAGACACAGGAAATAAACAAAACCCACGCATTTCTGAGATATAAAAGCACTTAGAAGTATGTTAACTAAAAAAAATAATGTATCAAGTGGAGAGTATTGCTTTTTTTAAATTCCCACATGCAATTCCTAAAAATAAAAGTATTCATTACAGAATGTGTGATTTAAAACAGAATTCACTATGATATAAAATTCAAAATGTACTCAGGTAAGATACTCAAGTAAGGTACTCAAATACCAAAAGTATTTGAAAAATAAGGTTCTCATATGGTAAACTTTTATTCAATGTTACTACTGAAATACTAATGCTCTAAAGCATGAAGACACATTGTTTCAAGGAGCAGGAGAGCATAAATGAATTTCTGTTTTTACTTGTATTAACTATTTTAAGAATGGAAAATAAAACAGTGCTGAAATAGTAAAAGTTAAGTTTTAATCAACTGTTTAAGAAAGAAAAAAAAGTCTGGGGAAAAAAAGAGTGGGTTAATGCAATACAACAGCTGAGCAGCAGAAGGACTTATCAAAAAGCAATTTATACACTTCCCTCTTTAAGATCAGTATGTACAAACACCATTTCCAGTGCTATATTTGCTGAATTACCCCAAAGCATTATGAGACAGTTATATATGCAACAGAGGCAATTTATATATGAAAATGGATTTCATCTAAAAGCCTTTTCACACATCTTCCTACCCAATTTCTACATGCATAGTTGATCACTTTAATGGAAGCATTATCTTCCTGTTCTCTTTACCGCCAAAATATAACTGAAATATGTTTACAAAATGCACAGTAGATCTTTGGAGCCATGAAACTGACATCTGTATATACAGCCCTATCATATCAATAGTGCCTCTAAGGAATTGTTTAAAATAAAAGGTGCTATTATATAAAGGTCATTATGTAATGTCAAAATAACATTGGGAGGTAGTCGTCATTCAATCTGCTTGTTATTAAGTTAGTTATGGTTGTAATTCTTGAATCACAACCCAAGACCATAAACTTCACGGTTTTTTTTCTTAGCTTCAACACTGCTTGTTGGCTCTGTTATAATTGTGCAAATTAGCCATTTACTGACTACTAATGGAAATTACACATGGAAGAGAAGATTTTAAAAGAAAAACTGCACCTTAAACCCTGGCTTCAAAGTTGCTTTATCCTACTGGACATTTACTTGCTAAAGATTTTTATTGCCACTTTATGTAGAAAATAAGAGATAAAAAAGCACACAAATTCACTTAAGATGATAACCTGTATCATAAAGACCTCTTTGCCCAAACTCGTGTTAACAGCTGAACCTAAAATATAAATGAGAAATAGGTATATCAAGCATGTCGAGGGTTACTAATTCATGATAGTGCATTGTAAAAGTGTTTGTTCTCCTTTTGACTGATTTGGCCACTTTTTTAAAAAACTCAGAAGCAGGAATATAAAATTATTTAATAAATACAGTAATTTAATAAAGCATTTTAATGCTTCTTCCAAAAAAGTGTTAATACTATGTTTCAGCTAGAAAGAAACAGAGGGTTGTTCAGTAGGAAAGACACTTGAAAAATTAATGGACACATTAACAAGTGAACAGATAAACAAATTGTTGTATACCCATAAAATGAACTACTATCCTGCCAATACAAAAGAAATTGTCTTTTTTTTTTTTTAAAGATTTTATTTATTTGAGAGAGAGAGAATGAGAGACAGAGAGCATGAGAGGGAGGAGGGTCAGAGGGAGAAGCAGACTCCCTGCTGAGCTGGGAGTCCGATGCGGGGCTCGATCCAGGGACTCCAGGATCATGACCTGAGCCGAAGGCAGTCGCTTAACCAACTGAGCCACCCAGGTGCCCCTAAAAGAAATTGTCTTAATAGTACTCACAAAAATAGGGGTGAATTTCAGAAATATGCCGAAAGAAAGAAGCCAGACACCAAGAGTACAGAGGCACAGAGAAACCTTTTGGAGCAAAGGAAAGATTATGCCCTCTGTGGTGGCTACACAGGGTTAGATATTTTTCAGAGAACTGTGGGTGAGGGATGGGGGACGGATATTAAGAAGCACTTGTGATGAGCACTGAGTGTTGTATGTACATGATCAATTACTGAATTCTACTCCTGAAACCAATATTGCACTGTGTTGATTAACTAGAATTTAAATAAAAATTTGAGGGGAAAAAAAAAGTCAATGAAATGTACCTTAAATTGTTTACCTTTTATTGCATATAAATTTTATTGTCAATAAAATTCATTTTAAAAAAGTCAATGAGCAGGGTAAGATACATTACATGAGGAAGGAATGAGGAAATAGAGGTCAACATACAATCAGAAGCAAGAAACACCACAGAACAGAGATAGATGAGGGACAGCAAAAAAAGCAGGGGAGAAGAAAAAAAATACAGAGTCAAGAAAAACTAGGTGCTCTTGAGTATTGTTTCTAAATCTCTCAAAACCACTTCTCACCATCTTCTCCACTAAGCACTAGTAGGAAATCACCATCATTTGTCACCTGGCTTAATCCTTTGGCCTCCTTGCCCCAAGTCTTGCTCTTCTCCAAACTACGACATTCTCAAATGCAAATCTGATCACTGGATATCCCTAGTTAGAAGCTTTAAATAGTTCATACATATTATATAAGGACAGAGTCCAAACTCCTTAACCAGGCCACAATTGTCTCTACTTTATCTCCTACCCTCTCCTGCCCTGCTAAACTATGGTCTAGCCATACACAACTCCCCCTGGTTCCAGCTCTCTAGTCTGCTTCTCTTGCTTCTGCTACTTCCTCTGCTTGAAATACCCACACTTCTATTAGTTCTTACCCATTCTTTAATGTAAGTTGACACTGCCTCTTCCAGGAAGTATTCCTTCATCCTCCAGTCGGAATTAAGTAGCCACTTGAGATACTCCCAAAGCATTTCTATAATACTTCCTCATTGCAGAAGTTATTACACGCCATCTTGTAAAGATCCAATTACTTATCAGTATTCTTTGTTCAACTGACTGAAGTTCTCTAAGACAGACACTTTCTATTCTGTTCCCTATCTTTAGCACTTGGCACTCAACAAGTCTCAATAAAAACTTTTGAATGTTACAGGAAAATAAAAAGGAGGAAGGGAGCATCTCAGAGGAAGAACCAAAAAGAGGCTCAATCTCAGCAGTTATCACTGTCCTTTATAAGTTCACTGCTTGCTAACATACTTTTCTGAAATCTCATATGTTATCTACATTTACTCTCAAATTCAGAATTTATTTTGTAACTAGACATTAACACCATTTCACTGGATTCTAATACTTTACAGAGAGAGAGCAGACAAGACTTTGACCTTAGAAAAGTTCACTGGAAATTGGTGGTGTCAGTAAATTCAGTTGTTATGACTGAATGTCCCTCTATTCCCTACTGTTCTCCTGCCCAACCCCTCCATCCATGAGAGATCACACAGTGGGAACCCAGTAAAGATATCCTTTAAGAATAAATGAGTTATAGTCCTTTCAATTATTCTTAAGCTCAGAGGTTCCTCTTTAGGCCACCATCAGGTAACCTATATGTGAAGAAACTCCTAAAACAATACAACTACATAAACTCACCTCTTGCAAAAGAAAAACTGATCAGGCAAAACAGGTTTCCAATTCCCGCCTACCAGGATAAGGTGCGTAAATGCGTTTTGAAATGGTATTATTATAAAAATATCAGTAGGATTATTTGAAGGCCATAAGGCAAAATGTTTATCTTTTCAAGAAAAGATCACATTATTTTCCTGATCAATTTTTTCCACTACCACCCTTTTCAACAAAATAATGCTATAATAATAAAATCTGGTGTTCTAAAACACTGAAAAACGTAAGACCACTAAAAAAGGCCTTATAGATTAATTACTATCAATACACTGCTTCAAACCCATTTTGGAAACTCTTGGATATGTTTTCTAAGTGGAGATTTTATCATAACAATTCTCAAGTGGCTGTCTCATTAGCTTTCAATATATTGCAAAGCTCAGGTTTTTCAGGAGTCCAGAAATCATCTTAAAAATATGATTTCCAGGGGCACCTGGGTGGCTCAGTCGGTTAAGCTTTTGCGTTAGGCTCAGGTCATGATCTGGAGTCCCAGGGTCGAGCCATGAGGCTCCCTGCTCAGTGGAGAGTCTGTTCCTCTGCCCCTCACCCTGCCTGTACTCTCTTGGGTGCACACGCACTCTCTCTCAAATAAATAAAATCTTAAAAAAAAATGATTTCCAATGTCAATGTAATTGACACAAAAGCTGAAAATACACTTACTGAACTAATAAATAAATCATACAAAAGACACCATCAATTAAACTCATCAGTATGAGGCTTGAAAGACTTTAACAACTTAATTAACCACAGCCATCAAATATGTAGAAGAAGCCTAAATTTTAATATACTAACTTTAAAATCTTTACTAAGAAATGTAGAAATCTGGAAAACTTTTCAAAATATTAAGTTCTTTAATTGCCACATCAAGTGGCAATTAAAAGGCTGACTAAAATGTGGATGGATGAATCAAACAACTCAAGTCAAATTGTGCCAGTGATATAAAGTCTTACAGTTAAGTTTGAGTATTCACATTTCTTAATTATCTACCTGCTTCAAGTCACTTGGTGCTGCCACCTTCCCCATCTTCCTTCAATATAATCATTACAATAGCTTATATTTATTAAGCACTTATGTGCCAGGCACCCTATTAAAAATGCAACATGCTTCATTTTATTTTACTCTTACAACAATACTATGTAATGTAGACACCATGATCATTCTTATTCCACACAAGAGGAAAATAAAATTGTAATGAAAAGAATTAACAAAGAAAGCCAACTTGAAACTGCTATTTTATACTAATCCTAACTCACTCACTACCTAATTATTCACCTAAGTTTCTCATCCCTATTAAAGAACATCTAAAATTCATTGCAAATCACACTGTCTTGAAATTACTCACATATC